TAACACACTAGAAAACATGTATCATATTCATGGCTGCAACTCAATGAATAAAACACCATAACCCGATGCATGAGGCTTTCATTAAAGTGGTTTTGAGGGGAGTCAAATATATGCAAGTTGCATGGTGAGCGATTGTTTTCGTGATTGAACACACTACATCTAAGCCATAATGAAACAACCTCATGATAACATCAATGCCTACCCCAATGGCAATTCGATGGATAGGAGCACTAACTACAAATCCTACAACAAACTTCCAAGCTTAAAACTTTGCTAAGAATCAAAAGCAGCAAGCAGGTATCAGCCCAACTTGGAAGCCTAAGAAGTATAAATTGTTGGGCAAAAGGGCACTTACTCAGAAAGAACATCCAAGGAATGACCATCCCTTCCTGTTCATTAATTGCGTTCTTTTCTTTTCCTTGTCCTCTCAGGGAATGAGCATTCTAATAAAAACTTCTCACGGGTCCATTTACAAAATCTAGAAAAAATGAGAGTGTAGCCAGCATGAGAACCAAATCTAAGCAAAACTTGTTCTTCGAAGTCAGGTGAAATGGCGCACACTTAACAAGCAGAATGGTTTTCCAAAAAAAAAAAAAAACAGCCAGAGCGCAAGCACATATGGGAAAAATCTCAAATTTGCATTAGGATTTCTACATTAAATACATTACACAGGGCAATTCAATCTATACATTGAGACAGATTTAAATAACTCAATTTCTTATCGAAAGGGTGGAGCACTTAATAAGAAAGTATTGGGCAGTAGGTAAACCACCTCATTCTTCTTCTCCCAAAGAAGATCCTAGGGGGCTTAGCTTAAAATAAGAACTTAAAAGAAAAAAAAATCAAACATAAGATCATAGAGTTGATTGCTTCCGCCAAACTTCGAAAAGCTCCAGCTTCAAGAGTAATAGAATTTAATGCCCTAAACAAACCTGTGAGTCTGTAGCATTAAATGGTTCAATCTAGCTAGAGCCTCAAGGCCTTGCAGTGTTCGTGTTGTCAGTGGGCACTACTTTCTTCCCTGTATAACGCTGAAAAACAGGAAAAAAAACTTCAATCACATTGCAGGCTTGAGGGTACAGTGCCAAGTGGAAGATGTAATAAAAGGAGAATTCATTACACACCAACTCAACAAAATTGTGTATTTAATCATTTGCAATATCAAATACCTGTTTGCCCAAGGAGAACGGAACATAACGGTATTTAATCATGTGCATTATCTGCCTCTTCATTGTTGAAATGAATAACACCAGCCAATAGAATAATAGAATTGGCCAAAATACAGGCACGTCAAATGCACTGAAGAATGAAAGCACAAAAGCAATGCAGAAGGCTTTTGTGATTGAGTGCCTGTCATACAGATTGAAGAACAAAACTCAAATTTTCCACAGATTGAAAAACAAAACTCAAATTTCCCATCTTGCAGCTAAAAATTGGCATTTGTATTGGTTACTACTAATAACTATGAGAAACTCTGCTTTGTATATATTTTTCACACAGAACATATTTCACAATGGATGGTCTTATGTAGACCAATGAAATGATTCGAATTTGATATAAAAGATAAGAAACGATAAGTGCTAGATCTGCAATACAAGTTGAATTCAAACAAGGATAAGATTAGTTGTTAACTAATCTTTATCTCTGATAAAAACACAGAAGCTGCTCGAAGGTACAACCAGCCTTCAAGATCAGATGAATAAGCTAGTAATATATATCATCAATTCTTTTCTCAGCAGTGTTCTGTAATTTTAGAACTTGCAACATTGGGTTTTTATCAAAACTGAAGACTTGATTTTGCAAGGGTTGTTATCAAGCACCATAAATTTGGCAAGTGTAAGGCTAATGCTATTTCATCTCCATATCGAGATAAAACTTATGGCGCTTCAAGGACAACAGCAATGCCTAGAAAAAACCAAATACAGGTACTGTCAAGTGTGAAAAGACACAATTACCTAAAGCCTAAGGTGGAGTTTAGCCTCAGATACTGGGCACAATTAAATACAATAATCTACTTTCAAATTTGGCTCAGACTCCAATTAAACATAGAGAAAATTAAACTGTCAACGCTGAACCAGACTAATTCAGATCTATAACCATTAAAAGACAATAGTTTCCACATCTGAAGGATTACTATCACCTGATCCAGAATCTGATACTCCAAACACTGCATACATACGTTCATACAAATACAGATGTACATATTTTATAATTCATCATCTGAATCAATTATTACAAAGAGAAAAAGAAACACACCAGAACTTGAACTCGGGAAGGCGGCGAACGAAGGGCCGGAACTCGTCGGATCCACGGGTGGGGAGTGAAGGACCGTCACTGAGTTCCTGGATCTCGGGATCTACCTGAGGAGACAGGAATGCGATCAATAGCTGGAGGATGTAGATTCCAAGCCCGTACGTGATGATGTAGTATCCCTGGACCAGGTACACGCGTACAGCGTAGATTAATGCGACGAAAGAGAACCCGATCCAACGGCGGAGTACGTGTGGTGTCGATTTATCGAGGACATATTGGTACCTTTGTGACACGGAGTAGCACCACTGCGATAGCGAGGAGGAGGCGGACGAGTCGTCGCCGGCGCCACCAGTCCCGCCACCAAGATTCATCTTTGTTTTTATTTTCCTAAATTCTCTCTCTCTCTCCTCTTTGGTCGTTTTTGTTTTGTGGGAAAGGGATACAGCGTGAGAGCGCACGCCTCTCGATTCCCGTCGTGCTTATTACCAATTTACCAACCGAAGAGACCAACGGTCGTGGAGAGTCCAAGACTGGACGCGGTTATCCCTCTGATATGGGCTTAGGCCCAACATATGATATAGCTACTTAATAAAGCCCGATTAATGTCCATAGCTTTTCAAGGACGATTCGCAATGAACCAATCAAAAGCCATAATCATAATCAAATCCATGATAAACTAAGCCCAATTATGGCCCATCATTTTTAAGTGACAGTGAAGCCCATACCAGGCTCATAATTATTTCATATAAATTCCTGAAGGCCGAACAAGGCCCATCATTATTTCACATTACAGTAATTACTTTCCAAATGGGTACTATTTTAAAAAAGAAAAGAAAAAGAAATTGAGAGCTACAGAGCTTTTGAAATTAGTTTTGATGATGCACAAAATGTATTTATTTACCACTTGTCAAATATTTAATATATTAATTAAGAAAGAAAGTCAACACAAGCAAAACACAATTTAAGTGATTCGGTCAGAATGACTTACTCTACTGTGAACAACTATGATGACCTGAGTATTTTATTACTTAAAGAGTGTAGAGTGTTTAGATGTGAGTGATATGTGAGAGATGTCCCTCTTGTGTAGATGGAACTTATAATTTATAGACGTCTCTGAACAGATTGAAGCATTATTCTTGTAATAGGTGAGGTAGTTTGGTGGAGATGACGTTATTCTCGTGATAGACAACACAATTTCGTGGCCGCCTCCCACGGTAATCTCTTTATGTGTCAGTTGTGGACCCAATCTTTCAAGATGGTGCAACTAACCTGACTGAGCTTCTTTCATCATGCGGTGGGCTTAGCCTGTATGTTGAAGTGATTTTAATCTGCAGTTCTAGGTCTAGTCTGTATTTTTAAACAGGGTCTTTGAATTGAGTTTTGGTCTATAATTTTGGACTAAAAGTCTGAGCCGGGCCCGTCAAGCATAACTAGCAAGCATCTGATAGTTGAAGTCGTACATCCTGCTTTTCCCTGATGAAGATATAGACGATTCGAACCTTATACAGGGGGAAGGAGACTGGAGAAACCTTTGGGATACGGTTATAAAAAATCAGAAATAAAAAAATGAATAATAAAACGTTAAAGAAACAGATTAATAGGCAAAATGCAAGAATAACCAATTCCAACTTTACTTAGTTTCGAATTACATCACACGATATTCTTCATTTACATGGAAAAAAAAAAGGTAATTTTGTTATACTTAAGACAAATGAGTAAAAAAAAAAATAATGCATTTTGATGGATTTTCAAAAGGTTTAATATGTTTTGGAAATGAAGATGTCTTTGGACTTGGAAAAATGGGAAATAGAGTTATTCACTCGTGAACTTTCAGTGTTCTAGATTTGGAGATGATGTAGTAAAATCGATCAAGCATTCTACTTGAAACCAAAAAAGAGATATAGAAATCTTAGGAGTTCTAATAATAATGCTCGAAGTTTAGAAAAAATGGAATTTTAGTCAAATCAAATAATAAGAGGTGCATACATGACTAATCACCTACGTGAAGAGTATTTTACCGTACATTTATACCTATAAACTAATGTACATGACTGCTACGCCAGTTGGATAAAGGAAAGAATTAGTCTATGAGGTTTCAGGTCAAACTAAGAAGCTGATAAGGAAATTGATGAGTTGGGTTTTTGACCTTTTGATCGACAATTTTGGCATTGACTTTGTGCAACTTGAACGGAAGAAATGCAACACAATAATGTATATAGATCTAGATTTTCTATCTTGCTGCAACTACCGTTCTGTATATTCTCTCTAATACTCCATAACAAAAAAAAAACTACCTTCTACAAATAGATCAATATTTTTTAAACCTAATTTCTTAATTTGATCCATCATAATCGTTATATTGACAGTGAATTTTATGTAATCGGTCTATCATTGTAGTGGTGTTAAAGTTGATTCAGAGGTAGACAATTATATGAATTAGGATGTATACATACGTTCTTATGCAACATAGGCTATACACAGTAGCACTCGCACTTTGGCAAATAGTGGTCTATAAAATGGGCTAGATATATAGTCGTAGTCTTCCCTCTCAACTGATCAACTGCAGCACATGGTGCCAGACCAAATGGTCGACTAAATTACAGCCCACTGCTGATCTTGGTGCCAGGAAGCAGACTTTGATTAAGTCAACTCTCCAATCCAATGGAAGAATTCCTCCCTCAGTTTCCTCCAACCCCTTATATAGTAGGCCTCATGTTATCAAGATAGCATACGGAGGAGTTTAAGTCATGGTAGGCGCACCCATTTCCTTCTCTGGAGTTGTTCATGGTACATCATCTTCTTCCATCCACTCTCATCTTCTCCTTTGTTCCATGTTTTATTTTTTGCTTCTTACACTAATCTTCTCCATTAATGCTGCAAATATATATGTGTGTGTCTAAAGGCCACTGCTTTCTGTTTGCAGCTGTGAAGGAGAAGGTGCAGGAGAAATTGGACTCTTCTAGCACAACAAAATATGCTCCACCAGGAACACCATATGCAACACCAAATTCATCCATTTCCACCATTCCCCCGTATAAAAACTCACCAACATTTCCTACAGCTCCTTACCAAGTAGTCACAGCCACACCTTATTCTGCAGCACCTCCAAACATGGTGGCGCCACCCCCAAATTCATCTCCCTACCCGAGTGCGACACCCTATTCTGCCGCATCTCCACCACACATGATCACCACCCCAAATTCAGCTCCTTACCCAGCTTCCACACCCTACTCTTCTGCACCTCCATACATGACAACCCCACCAAATTCATCTCCTTTCCAAGCTGTCTTAACCTATTCTGCCACACCTCCCAACGTGCCAAACTCTCCATATTCATCTTCCATGTCTCCTTACACCACATACCCTCCTGATTCAGCCCCAATACCTCCAAGCACAACCTATCCTCCTAATTGCTCATCTCCTTTCTCCACTTATCCTCCCAATTCAGCAGCGCCATATCCCAAGCTCCTAACCCTTCCACTCAATCACCTGAAAATCTTCTTCAGTCATGTCCTCCTCCGGCAGGCTACTCTTCACATCCATACCCGCCTCCTCCTCAGGCCACTACTTCACAGCCGTACCCGCCTCCCCCTCAGGCTGTTCCTTCGCATTCGTACCCGCTTCAGGCTACTCCACAACCATACCCACCACCCCCTCAAGCCAGTACTCCACCACCCTACCCGAGTTGCAATCCACCAGGTTTGTTTCCATTGTGAATTTACGGTCATTACAAACCATGCATGCTTGTAAAAAACTATCTTCACAAGCAAAAGTCATTCTTCACGATATGATTAGAATTGAATAACTTACGTTTTTTTTTTGAACCTCTAATTATTTAGTAATTAAGCATATTTCATTTCAGGTCCATCAACTGGAATCTTCCCACCACCTCCGTCCACAGCCATGTACCCACCACCTCCATCCACAGACGTGTACCCACCACCTCCATCCACAGGATTCTACCAACAAACACACCCATTCCCGGGAATTCACCTACCACCCCCGTACTGATCTGATCACTCACATATCTGTGCAGATCTTCTTGTTCAAGTGAAAAAAAAAGGCAACAATTGGGATTTCCATAGATAAATTGGATTTTTATTTTGCTTTCTGATTTGTACCAAAAACCATCATTGTTCTTGGAAATAAGAGTTTCTGTCTGCCGCTTCATGAGACTATAGATACTAGATCCACATCAAATCGGTCAGAATTGGTTAATAGTTCATTGTTTTAACTGTTAGTTTAAAAAAATTATAAAATATAATAATTTAACTAAAAATTATGAAATATGTTAACAATTACAAATTTTTTTCCCTTTGTTCATATCAATTCTTCCAGCTTGAGAGGGTAAAACGGTAAAAAATGTTTAAAAAAACAGCAGTAAAATATTGTGTGTATGTGATTGTAGACTGACTCTGTGTGCGCGTGCGTGAGTGTGCGCGCATGTAGAGAGAGATGAAGAAGAAGAAGACGACGACAGTGACTGAAGGAGGGAATCTGGAGAAGAGAAGACAGAACACAGCCCTCGATTTAGGGCAAAATTGCCCCCAAAATATTGATTTCTTTTTATACTACTTACCGAATTTTTTTTATCCCTTAAAACTCGAACGGCCTAGTTTGAACATCTCGTCCGCTTCTTCCCTTTTATGTAAAATCGGTCGATTTTTCAATTTTTAGGATAATTACTAAATCGGATCAGTTAAGGCCCTAATTCTCCGGTTCATCGGTTCTACCAATTATTCTGGTCCAATTTTGAAATTATCATAAAAGGATGGGCAAATGTTCAGTTCCAATTAGTAAGGTTTTTCGGTATGATTTTTTCATTTTTATCCACATAGTAAACACGTTTTATTAAATTATTTTTTTAATCAATAACTACAAATCAACTAAATTAAAAATTAAAAAACTAAAAATATATATTTTTTTTATCTTAGAGCATTTCCAACCTTAGACTAATTTGAGCCTGAATGGTCTAAAAACTTTTTTCAACCTTGAACTCAAATTTATATCAAATTAAGAAAAAATTTGTTTTAGACTTAAATTAAAGAGGATTCAAATTCTATATCAAATTTTAACAGTAACTTTTTACTTTATTCAAAGTTAAAAAACTTCTTCAACGACTTGTTCTCTGCCTTTTCTAGTCTCTCTCTTCTACGTTGTTTCCATTGCCGACTACCACCGAAGTATTAACATATCCTTTAAAGACTTGTAGCCTGTAGATAAGCTTCTTCCTTTTCATCTTCTATCTTATTAAATTTTTGTATTTTTCAAAATCTTAATCTCACTTATCTTTCATACTATATAAACCCTAAGTCTACTCATCAAATTTTACTTTGAATTTTTCGAGTTAAACAATGTCAGTAGTGTAATTTCAAGCCATCTATTCTTATTGAAATTTCAAGTCTTCACCATTCAAAATGATCCATTTTTTGTGTTTTTCAAATCACACTCATGTCAAAGTAACTGTTTTATTTCTTCTTTTTTTATCTAGATTCATAGAAGAATATAAGAATTTAAAACAATTTGATATTCTAGAGTGGTTTTCTTTGTTTTATTCTATTTTTTTTATTCCCAAGTGGTACCGTTGTATCTATATTTAATATTTTTTTTGAATTACCTATTTGTTGAGAAATATGAAAGTTTTATTTATTTTATTAAATTTTATGATTTAAATAACACAAAAAAATGAGTTTTGGGACAAAAAGGAATTTTTTTTTTTTTTTTGCAAATTGAAGTAGATATTTGAATTTATTCATTAAAGTATTCTATATCAAATCAAACTTTTTACTTAAATTTATATTCAAATTTGAGTAATTATTGAAGATGCTCTAATCAAACATAAAAAATAAAAAATTAATCCTTCATATTTTCCATCAATCTTACCAACCACAAATAAAAAAACAAAGGATTCCTTTCTTAAATGATAAAAAGTGTATTACTCCTATTTTTCGTTTTTCTATTTTTTTATCTATCCTACCAAAATGAACCATAAATATTATATCGAAAAATAATTTTTTAACATTTTACATCTCTTTTTTGTCCAATAATAAGACAAGATGTAAACATATAATGTAAAAATTTTTTTTTGAAAATAGTATAATATTTAAATTTAAAAATTTAGCTTTTAGTGCCATAGAATTAACCCATAGAATGATAGTTTCTTTTAGTGTTTGCACGTAGATCATTTTGAGTTATAATTTTGGATTTATTTGTAACTCAAAATTATGTGATAACTAAAAAAATCAAAGAAAATTTAATCGGATGAAATATTCACAATCATGTCTAATGAAGTTATTTTTCCATGAATGAAAAATACAAGGAAACAATCTTCGGTAGATAAGACTCTATTATTTACGAGAAATAAATGTTGAAATAGGGAGTGCATAAGAAAATTGAATTGTTCTATTGCCAAGTCAAGTATTGAGAAGTCTTGGAAGGAAAATCATGATACCAATACATCATAGATATGTGACAAACTATTTTCCTTGTCTGTGTTCAAATCCGAAAACCTGGCACAACAAATAGGAACCAAATTTCTCAAACCCCTTTGGCAAATCAACCACGTAATTTTTATTCTAATGACACTTGAGGATTTTTTGTGCAACTTTCAAAGTTCTGTCTTCTGGTTGTAATATGAGCTGCTTTCGTGAACAAGTTCACAATAATCAAAAGAGTAATATTATTTGGATCTAAATATCTGATCAAATTTGCTAACATAATGATGTGGTTGCATAGAAATCATTGGATTAACATAAAGTTCTAATATTTGATAGGGTCTACAATAAATTTAAAAATCATAGTGAATTAAGTTAGCAAATTATGTCAATAAATTAAATTCCAATAACATTGTTCATAACCAAAATTTCTAAACAACCTCTATCCGTTATAAATACAATATAAAAAATAAAAAGATTGCATATGTATTCTCTAACAAACAGTATATGGGTGTGGCCAGTCATTATTCATTTGTCACAAGAAATGATTTAGGGCTCATTACATTGAGTTTTACAAACGAAGATTTTATGTAGATTTAGTAACAAAACCAAAAAAAATATATAATTAAAACTGAAAAATCAATCTAACATAGAAATAAAACGTAGAACCACAAAAGAACCGCATAAAGAACATAAACACAATTCAAGTAGAAAGAAAACCAAAACTCATCCTTACAATATCCTTTGACGATGATGACAAGGACGAGAAGGACCCGACCATTAAAGAAGACGAAGAAATAACAGTGATCTTTTGTCAAAAACTTGTTCAAGAATATGAGATTTAGATAGAAAAATCCATTGAAATTACTTTAAAATCTCACGAGTGCATAGGGGATGCAGGTTGCTTCAAATAGGAAATTTTGGGAGCAATAATGAAAGTAGCTTGAAAGACTTCTTCCTATTTCCCCCCCTTTGCCGTTCTAGAAAAAGAGTCACAAAACATGGAAGATGCAGTGGTACCGTCCAAAGTAAGTGTTGTCTAATGGAATTACATTATCTATTAATTCGCCAGCAAATAAAAAGGACATTATCTATTAATTAGGATTGTCTTTACAAGATGAAGGTTGAATAAAAACTGAAAATTATAATTTAATTGTTGAAATTTGTAAGGACTAAGATTATGCATCAATTGTATTTGTGATTGTTAGTTTTGTTGTAGTGTAAAGGAGTTAACAAAGATGACTTTTTACAATTGTTTGAGGATAAAAATGGTAATCAAAATTTTTTCACTTATAATAATATTTAAAAGCATTATAGATATAGATATCAATCATTTGCATCATTGCTTTTAATCATCCTAGTTTGGTAGTAAACAGAGCGGTCCTAACTAAGAGATCCAAATCGTTCAATATGCAATTGTTTTGTTTTGTTTTTGTTTTTTTTTTTTTTTGGGGGGGGGGGGGAGGGGGGGGGGTGGGTGTGGCTTATTTTTTCAATAGAAATCTTAGTTCAGGATTTTTTACATTAATCCGAATATGAGTATATGACATCATTAACCGTAATAATCGGACAAGCTTGCCACTGGTTAGCTCAATATTCCCACTGTTCAACGGTCCAGCCCAAGAGAGCAAAAAAAGGCCCAGCCCAAAGGAAGCAGATCCAGGGAAGTCTGATCTTTCCCTTCTAATTGTCCGAATTCTCAGTAATCGTCTCCAACCTCTACCGGGAGAACTCAGTACCTGTGGATAAACGCGGTTCAAATGGAGTTTCTTGGGGTGGACTTTAGCTGTGCATTTGGATCGCTTAGCAACGGCAAGTTTCCGGAAAAAGACTGTTTGCTTCCTCTAATATCAAAGCTCCTCGGCTACTGCATCGTCGCTGCCTCTACCACCGTCAAAGTCCCTCAGGTAATTCAATTGCTGACATACCCTCAACACCCACCATGGATTAAAACCCCCAAAAGTCGGTCTTTCATAGAATTTCCTTTGTGATAGTGAAACATCTCGTACTTTTGTGTCTATCCGGTGGTGGCCATCGAAAATTTTCCATAAATTCCAATTTTGTTTGTGTAGAATTTAAGGGTTGAAGTGTAAGATCTGAATACAAATCTTAGTGTTTAAGAAGATATAAACCTTGGAATCAAGTTGCTTTGGTAAATATTTACTTGTCAAAAAAAAGTTGCTTCTTTAGGTTTAGTTTTCAATGTTGTTGTTTTTGAAATTAAGGATTGAAGTGTACAATCCAAAGACAAATCTTAATGTTGAAAAGGATGTAAACCCTGGAATCAAGTTGTTTTGGTGAAGATTTACTTACCAGGAAAAGGAAAAAAAATTGATTGGTTGTGTTTCACCCCCCCCCCCCCCCCCCGGGGGACGCTACGGAGGGAAGGGGGATACACATCACATAGAACACTAAGCATAATTGAGGTTATGAGAAGAAAATCTCCCACCCATTGTGCATGGCAGAATGTTAATTATCTTTCAGAGTATCAAGTCAATCAGAGTCCTTTGTTCATGAATAAGATGGTCTGCGTTTGGGTGTTGACTCAAAAGCAACCATTATGAACGCATGCCTCACCTCAAAATGTGGTTAGATATAAAACACCATTGACTGGTGAATCATATGTGTTTAAGCATGAGGTTTAGTTCTCTGACGATCCTAGCTCTTAATTGATTGAGTGAATGTTCTGCTTGCACCTAAAACATAATGAACTGTTTGTTTTTTGAACTTGTGATTCATGATTTTGATGCATTTGTAGTTATATGGTTTTGTAGATATTAAAAATTTTGAAGCACAAAAGTATCAGAGGGCTTAGTCTTGTAGCATTTGAACTTGAAGTAGTTGGTTATACCATTGCTTTGGCCTACTGTCTTCACAAAGGGCTTCCATTTTCAGCTTATGGGGAATTGGCATTTCTTCTAATCCAAGGTACATTAATCAGCTCCGTCTTGTATTTGCAAATTTCCCCCTTTTTGGTAGTAATTAATAAATAAATAAAAAGAATTGGAGGTTGTTTCAAATTTTCTCTCAAGACCATTTCTCTTCCCATTCTTTCTTGCGCAACCATCTCAGTCTATTTCAAGTGGGTATGTCATCAAATTGGTAAGTCCCGCTTGTTGTTGGTTGTTCCTTATGAAAACAATTTAATATTTATGCTGAAGTGGTTGTTTTTCCAATAATAATGAAACTGACTAATACCCTTGGGGTTTTTTTTTTTGTGGGGGAGGGGGAGGCGGTGGAAGGTGGTGTTGGGGAGTCGGGGTTGGATGGTGCCAGGGGGACACTTGGTTCCTGCATTATTACACTAATGGAATGGCCATTGACAAAAAATCAGGTTATCTTTAGGAAGTAGGGAATCTTCCAGAATCGAATATAAATTGGATGGTTATGGTGATCTGAAAAGATTATTAGAGAAGAGAAATGAAAAGCAATTGTCTGGATGGTATTGTCTTGTGGGTGGTTCTAACCTTTAAGACCCAGTTTCCTTCCCCTCTAACTATGTTTGATTTCCCATTATCTCCTTATGTTCTTGAGCAAGAAAAATAAAAGAAAATAAAATAAAAAGGAACTCAACCTTTTTCAAGTGAAAGGTTAGTTTCGTCTCATGGGTCAATCGTGAAACTTCTTGTTGGCCACATACCAAAAATTTGGGATCCTATCTCTTGCATGTCAACAGGCTGAAGTCTGCAGACCTGCCTAGTAATGGAACTGCATCCATTATGAATCACACAATGGACAGAAATCATGTTGAAGATTCTGAACTGAACCTTGCTTCAGTCACTGAACTTGACCACATAATCTCCCATGGCCCAGATTTAACCTCTTTCATATATATATATTTGTCTTGCATGGTGTGATATTATAGTTAACTTCTTTAACCAAATGCAATTTGCTGTACAGAAGTACCTGAACTATGGGAATCAAACTAGTGCCTAACCCCTTTCAGTGTGTTTGGTTTAAAGTGCCAAGCAAAGTTTGTAAATTGTATCATCACCAAATTGCACTGCATACTGAACTTCCATTATCTTGGTGTTTTAGAAGCTGGATGACAATCCCAATTACTCTAATGCTTCTCGTACTTATCTGTTGCAGCTTTAATCTTAGTGGCAATAATGTACTATTTTTCTCAACCTCTGCGGACCACCACATGGATTAGGGCTTTGCTGTATCCTACTTGCTTGGTGGAGTAAATCTTTGCTGGCATTGTCTAGATGATCTAATTGTATTCATTGCTCTCTTCTGTCTATTTGGAAGGTTGCACCTTATGTGGGAATGAGCAAAATTTGCATTGCTTAACTTATAAAATTACAGATATTGTGGTGTAGCACCTACTATCTTAGCCGGTCAAATTGATCCCATTCTGTTTGAAGCTTTATATGTAAGTTGCAACATTAGCCATCCTGTCGGCTATTTGCATTCATGATTGCTTCTTTTCCTTCTTCTGTTTTTTCTTCTCTTGTTCACCTCACTGATGTATTCGTATGTGATAATCCCATGCAAACACAATGGAAAAATGTATGACTCTTTCTTGTTCCAAAATAATATGTTTCAGGCATCCCAGCATGCAATTTTTTTCTTCGCCAGACTCCCACAAATTTGGAAGAACTTTAAGGTAAGTCGACACTCTATGTTCTCTGTTTAGGTCTAAAATGGCCAATTTTAAGGGTCATTCTGCATAGTGTGAATGCCCTAAGATACAAGAGCATAGAGCTGAGAGTGGGAACGGACTGAGAGGGAGAGCACGGAAGCGACTATTAATTAAAATGTATATGGGTCAGAGTGCCTCAGATAGCAGCATTTGTTATAGGCGTAGATGTTACTGATGGTAAAGGATAAGCTAGTACTCGTACCAGAAGCATTATAGGTGTAGATTTTACACTCACAAACAACTATGGGGACATTGGAACATAGAGACATACACAAATTTTGTCAAGTAACATTCTATTTGATCACTTTCTACAATTGTGAACTATATTTCACAATCCGCATGCTTTTCTGCTACTTTTTTCTTATTAATGAAATCTTTTAACCATTACCCACAGGAGGTTTCTGTGACTTTATTATAATTGAAATAATGCAATCTTTCGCTTCTTTTCATGTATTGCTTCATCTTATTTATGCATCTTAATTAGTTTTCATGCTTATATTGATATTGGGTAACTATTCTTTGAATAATTGAAATAATGCAATCTTTTGCTTCTTTTCATGTATTGCTTCATCTTATTTATGCATCTTAATTAGTTTTCATGCTTATATTGATATTGGGTAACTATTCTTTGAACAGAACAAAAGTACAGGGGAGCTCAGCTTTATAACCTCTTTTATGAATTTTGGAGGTTCAATGGGTGAGTTAACATTGGTCATTGCTCCACTCTATGACAGAGTTTGTTGTTAGTGTGTATCAGTTCTGCATTGTTTAATTTTCTATTTTTGCAGTAAGAGTTTTTACCAGCATCCAGGAAAAAGCTCCAACAAGTGGTATCCTTTTTTTATCTCTTTCTACAGAATATTGTTTGTCATTAGATCAATATTTCCAGCTTGCAAGAGTAAATTTTTTATGGAATTTTGCAAGTCTCCCTCGTTGTTATAACACCAGTTATTACTTTACCTGAATGAAGTCATTGCAAATTGCAAGTGGTTGTTTTTCCATTTAAAACTAGCTTTCTTTGCACAACTGTTTTACAGATTCTTCATCATCCTTGCATCTTTTTTGTTAAGAAAGGCACATTTTGCTTCTGTTTAAAGGAAGAAAGAACTAGTACAACCTAGATACAGGGGAGGCCTAGTAGATGCAGATTGGTTTAGTTGAAAAAGAAAATACCAGAAGATGACCCAAGATGGGGTAAGACATGGAACAATATTTTCATAACAAATCTCAAACTTTTCAGGTGAGGCTTTTCTGACTTGAATTCGTACCTTGAGAATGATTTCTGTGGTTATATTTTCAATTTATTTTCAAAGGTCTCATAGACAACCAAGTTGAGATTTGAATAAGGGTCAACAGTGAATTTCTTGTGTTGCTGTTTTTATGCTGTGCTGTTTCTTTGCCATTCACTTAGTCTCATCGTTCTTATATTAGCTGTATACATTCTATTTCTCTTACCATCACAATAGTATTTGAGTTCCTTGATTCTTTCGAAGTTGTTTTTGGCTCTCTACTTGGTATCTTGACTAATGGTACCATCATGAGCCAAATAATGATATATCAGAAGCCACCTACAAAGACAGAGAAGAAAACAGAATAGAAGAAGAATGAGACGGCAGCATCCTTCAACATTTTCAGTCTTCCAAGACGTCGTTTAGCATCCTCCATTGGGTGAAAAGTTCCAAATTTCTTCTGCCAATTTTATTTACTTATCACTTTGCTGACAGGCATCTTTTTAAATTTATACTGATTTTGTAATGATAAATATCTTGCTTACATAGATGTCAATTTTAAAAATCTAACAGCTGCTGATGTAAAACATGTTCTAAATGTGTTTCTGGGGATTTGGCTCCTCTCCCACTGTCATGTAAGAATGACAACATCGTATCCTTCAACCAGATGAACTACTTTCGAGTGTTTGTTTTATGTTTAAAACAGCACGCTTATGAATATTTCTTACTTCTTTTCGATAGAAATTTGTATACTTCTTTTTGACCACACTGAACAACTTTCATCTACTAAAAAGATGCCTTTCTGGATACCTTTGTGAAAGCACCTACAATTCATCTTCTAAACAGTTCTCATACACCACTGAAGACTTGTGACCTGTTCGCATTACTGCAGGTCAGAATGATCCTAACGCCACCGGGTCAGGGCCTTGCCTAATTTTCCAGCCATGAACACTTTCCATTGTAACAAACGAGCAATCATTCTTATTTTCTAAAACCTTAAACGACAAATGAGCACAATCAAAGATGGAAGTACAAAAACTCTCAGAACAGCATCAACAGCAAGGGGAAACCCTGACCCAAAAAAAAAAAAAAAAATCAAAGGGAAACAAAAATAAAGTCAAATGAGCTAGGTTCAATCTTAGTACGCTGATAATATCATAGAAAACTTTAAGCCTATACGACTTCCAACTGAAATGAAAGGCAATGAATCCAAAAGATGACTAGAAATGCTACACAAGAGTCCCTGTGAAATTCAATCAATTAGTTGGAAGCATATACGGTGGTACTGCATGCAACACCAACGATACCCAAACTTTCATGTCTGCAGAGAGACGCCACTCAACTTATTCAACCACCACAGCATCAATGCTAGCACCATGTAGAACTTGTTCCACCAATTACAAGTGAATGAGGTTCTACAAAACGCTTTCATTTCAAAGTGGGGCCATAAGGGAAGGGGGGGGGGGGGGGGGGGCATCCCTCCTACCCTTTCCTCTTTTCCTTTTTGAGCTAGCATTTAGTTACACACCCAAAAAACCAACACAGCAAAGAAAGACGGATCCAACCAAAAATTGGGATCCAGCCGACCAACTCAAACCAGGCTTTTCTACCACATTTCAGAAGCTTAATCCAGATCAAAAGCTATTGTTTAAGGTTAGGAGGCCCAAAACACACAGAAAAAACTTTAACAATGGAAAGCGCCTTCGAATCTTGAAGTCACGTGCTGGACCTACCTCTAGCATGCCTAAATCCTTACTTTCTCAAAGCGCTCATATATTTCTCATCTATATGCACCCAATACGCAGAAACTGGGGGAAAAGGAGAGAGGGAAGGGTTGGGAGAGAGGCTGAAGGCTTTACAACAAAGAATTATCATTGTTACATGACAAGGCTTCCTTTAGGGAAGGGTCCAAATAAGAACTTCATCCCATACTCAAAAAAGCGACTACAAAAGCATAACAATTTCACAAAAACCTCTCAAATAGTGCTGCTAAGGTGTTGCAACACCTGGCTTTGAAAATCTTATATATAATTGTAATATGTTAACATTACACCCAGATTGGCCTTCAAAAACACCATATTTCAAGACAATCAAATGTCAGGTGCACAATATGTCAAAAGCATACTCAACCAACAATCGTATTTGGTTACCAATCTAAATATATAAGTTTAAAAAAGAAGCATCAACAAGGAAATACAAGCCCCATATAGCATCAACATGGCAAATGCCTCCAGGATGTGAAACCTATAGACGCGCATCCCCCAGGTTATCAAAAAATGACTAGCCGGGTTAGACAGTGAGGTCCACAATAGAGCTGATTTTTTGTTAGAGATTTATTCCCTCGATCAATGCTAGATTAGTCATCGTTCATGTAAACATGCTATAAATGATTGCGGAATTAATATAAGTCATGTTCCATACAATATAGGAATACGGCTGACAATTTCACTGAAGAAATGACAGTGACCATAACATACATTCTAAAACTCTTGGGGACAGAAACACAAATGGAAGTAAAAAAGAAGCCTGCTTCACCTGAAGACAGCGTACCAATACAATAGGACAGTTCCAGAAGTGCAGCTTTCCTACAAAATTGACCACAACTTGGTCAGCATACCAGTTTAGATCAGTTTGATGTTCCCTTCTTGTGTCATCTGCAGGATTATGAAATGATGGATTCACTGCAGCCAGTGTGTGAAGGATCGATTAATGCAGGGATCTCCCAACCCATACACAAATGATACTTCCTCAGGCTCCAGGCGCATCCTCGCCAGTGAATGTTTGAGGTTTTGTTTGTTGGGTTTGGGTTGGGGTGGGGTGGGGTGGGGTGGGGTGGTGGTGGTGGTGGGAGAGATGGCTGTAAACTATATGGGACTCCTGCAAAAGATATCCAGTATTATCTTTCACAAACAAATTTATCAAACCTGGGAACAAACAGAATGGCAGCATTTAAAATTTGAAGTTACACCATGGAGGGGACACAATGCGGCACACGACCAAATTTCCCAAACTAGGAAGTAGACAGCAAGGAAAGTTGTCAAAATTTGAAGGTCTCACCATGGAACACACGCAATAGCTATTACTCTATTGTCCAATGATTAGCACTTCAAATCCTGTGAGACTATATGATGCGTTTCCTATTTTGTTATCTGGCAGCACAACCACCCCTTGGCATCTATTAAGTAATTGTTGCTACCTAAGCAGCCAAATTGGTCAAAAACCAGCGATAAACAACTCTGAACAAGGTGCAACAATACCTGTGTTATTATATGCTATGATTGCATACTCTGATAAAAGGCATTATTAATGCACAATAGCACTTTCCCGAAATTTACAAACCAATGCATGCATAAATTAAATCTTTTGGCACATACCATGCAATTTGATGTCATAAACAATACTAAAGGAGCAAATTATCATATCCAGCAGAACAATATCAGCTATCTTTCGTGAAAAAACAAAAGGAAGTTGGGAAAAAAAATCCCAATGACAACTTCCAACAACGACAATCCAATTTGAGAGGCAACAAACAACACATAAATTCAAATACTTTACAGATGGATGCATACCAATTGCAAAACAATGTAAGCGGCCAAAAGCCTTTTATATTTCCGTTTCTTCTCCTAAATTCTGGTCAGTGCTCCCTTTGATTATTTTGAGAACTGCCACCAAAGCTTGACCACCTTCTGAAAGTGCAAGCCACTAAACTCCTCCCAGCAATAAGCCCTAACCTTGCCTTCAATGATGTCGACCTCCCTACACTGCTCGACGCAACATTGGGATTCCCAACTTGAGCAACCACTTGAGAGTTCTCCATGCCGATATCTTGTAAACCAATATCACTAGCGCTCGCATCCAGATTCTCAGGCCTGGGGGAGTCCAAGATCACCGCCAATGATCCTCTACCCGCCCTTAACCAATCTGCACCCTCAGACGTCACCGCTCTACACTTCTTCAGCTTGACCTTCACCAAATTTGGACAACCACTAGCAAGCGCTTCCATGCCATGATCAGACACTGGACAACTCTTAATACAGAGCTTCCTCAACGCTATACATTTCGAAGCAATGCACGAAAGCTCCGCATCCCCAACAGTGTCACTTCCACACAAAGCCAATCTTTCTAGGTTATGACAATTCGTCCCCAATTTCTCTAGACCTACCATCGTAGGATTCACACCGATAAGAACTAGTTCCTGCAAATTAGGACAGTGTTCGGCAACCGCAATTAATCCATCGTCACTAATCCTATTTGCTTTCCACCCATCAATGTGAAGCTTCCTTAATAGCTTACAATGTTCCGCAAGAGTCTTAAGCCCCAAATTCGTACACTCAGGTGTTTTCACAAGATGCAAAATTTCAAGGCTCAAACAATTCGAAAGCGCATCTAAACCAACATCACTAACCTGAAGCCTCTCCAAATGAACTTCAACCAATCCAGTGACACGGTCCGCGACCACTTCCAGAAGCTTATCCCAATCACCGGGACACCTAAACAGCTTCAACGTCCTCAAATTCTTCGCGTCTATGATTAACGGTCCGAAACACAGGCCATTGTAAAGATCTTTCAAACAAATAACTTTTAGGGACGATGCGGCCTTACCGGGCCCAATCGGCTCAGCTGCAGCTCCGTCGGTGATTCCGCGAAGCCGTTTCACCGATAGTTCCTCGAGGGACGAGCAATTATCCAGTATGGCATTCATTCCTTGAGCTCCAAAAGTACAGGATCCACAAGATAATTTCTTCAAATTTCTGCAAGTTCCAGCGAAAATTGCCATTCCGTTGTCAGTGAGTTCACGGCAAGCTCGGAGTTTGAGACGAGTGAGATTCTGGCAACGAAGAGCAATGAGGATTAACGCGTCGTCACCGATGCTCACGGAGCTGCGATCACATTTGAGGGCGAGCTTCGTGACGGCGTCGAAGCGAGAGAAAAGAGAAGGAATCATGGAGATAAGTTCCGATTGAGCGTTGAGGGACAGACGGTGACGGCTCTGTCCCTCTACCTTGAGCCACCGGCGACATACGAGCGAGCATCGTTTTCGATCTCGGGATCCAAGGTACTGAAAAGCGCAAGCCAAACAGTCGTCTGGAAGGTGCGAAATAAAATCAGAAAACTCAGCGTAATCGAAGGATTCTGAGTCTTGGGATTCCATCGGAGAAGTAACAGCCGTGGATCTGAGCTTAGATCGATGGCTGTAGTTGGATTCGCGACGAGATAATAGGGCTCCGGAGGCAGTCGAAACTGACTGGCCCATCCACGACGAGTCTATGGGGAACGGTTGGACCTGCGCGGAGTGAATCTCAGCCCTACTTGTCAGGTTTTCCCTCAGGTGGTTCTTTCCTGTCGTAGTTGAGAGCTTCACCGGAGACTGGATAGCCTTTGAAATGATAAGTTGATATAGGTTTTTATGGCCTTCCGGTGTGGTCTAATCTAATCTTATTACCGCCTTGTGAGTAACGTTAGGGTGATTGCGACCTCATGTTTCGCGTTTGTTAGCGTAAAACTACAAGGCGGCAGGCGCTACTAAACTTGGATTTGTGCTTTGCACATGCTATATAAATTTTTTCCTTTTCATTCAGTTTTCATTTTTCCTGTGGATTTTCTTTGTTTCAAGATAAGACAAATTCAATATTCTATGTTCCTATGGCTTTGTATTGAGGCAATGTCAAATGTTTTGAGTCTTAACCCGCTTGTCGCTTGCTGATTGTATGATTATTTTTTATTTTTAATGACAACGAAAAATGTAGAAACAACAAAGATTATTAATATTCAATTTTTGTATTGATAAATTACTACACAGACAATGCATAATAATAAATTATTATTACAACAAAGTTTAAATTAATCAAAAAATAAAATAAACCATGAATTATATTTTATACCTTAAATTTTTATTTTATTCTCTTAAAGATTAATTTTTTTATATTATATCCTTTAATGTATTAAAATTGTTAAAATATGAACTTTCTATTAATTTTCTATTAGTTCTTTCGTTAGTATCAATGAATTAATTTTTGACCAAATAAATAAAAAAACTTAACAAAAGATCACGTTATAATAATTTTAATGCATTAAAGATGTAATGTGAAAATTTTAATAATACAAAATAAAAATTTTAGAATCTTTCACGTACAAAGTATGAAAAATCCTAAAATAAACACCCCAAGGTGGCCATTTTACATTTATATGCTCTTACATAAGTAGCATAATTTTTAATTTTTATTTTTTGGCCAACGACAGTGTCTAATCATTCCAAAGGCTCCAAGTCCAACCCGGCAGCTAGCTGAGGCACACAACTCATTGAGGAAAAAACACAAACAAATGGCCGCTCCACTGCTTCTCAGAGGCTTCCCACTCCTCCGCCTCCGACTCCGACTCGGACTCCAAGACCACCACAGACTCGCCGTCGGACTACTGACTAGTCGGTTGTGGTCAACTGCCTCGGAGTCAGTTCGGCCGGAAGAAAACATATCCTCTGTGGGCCAGACCACCGCCGTACTGAGCGCCAAAGACCCACCAAATTACCCGCGATGGGACGACCCTGATTATCGGAAGTGGAAAGATAAAGAAGAGGAAATACTAAAAGATATCGAACCCATCACTCTTCTCACCAAAGAAATTCTCCACTCTAACAGGTCCTCTCTCTCGTCCACTAATTTAGACCTATCCTCAATCTCGTGATACATTTGTCTATTATATCAGTTTCTAACATGTTCCTAACCTAGGATCAAGCTTTGACAACTAACCTCGTAATATGCAAGTTAGCTATTGTTAACATCAACTTGCGCAAAGCACCAAGTATTTTATAGGATAAGATGACTTATGGGCGAAGGTCGACATATTAGTTGGCACTATAAGTAACCAGTTTCCATTTGTTTGCCTTTCTAGCTTTGCTATTTACTTTTGTAAGGTCGTTTTATTTTGGTGTATCAAAGACTTCAACTTCTACAGTGTGTCCCAACTTGAACAAGGAGCTGCTACCCTCCGTTGGCAAAAATTGGGACAACACTTTTGTTGAATTTGCTATGTGGTAATGGAGCATTGCGATGGAATCATCTTTGCTAAACATTGCTCATTTCAATGTTTGGTTTATAGTAATACAAATTCATTCCTATTACCATGGAATGTCTAACCCCACCAATGCAAGATTAATCATCAAATGATGGTGTCCGTTGTTAAGTGATAGTGGTAGGGTGGTGGTGGTTGGACTTGGGCTATCAAAAATAGTTATGATACTTTAATGTCATGGAAGTACTTCGGTCAAATTCCAACTAATCTCAAAAACGTTGGAACGAATTGTTAGTTCCAGCAGTTAATCCTAGTTATTGTCAAAGTTTCAAACATGAGAATGGTAATGCACATTTCATTCCTTTCCATTTCCAAGGTCATGTTTATTCCATTCTTGCTTAAAAGCATTACTGCATATCAATCATAGCTTCAGGGTTTGGGCAGTCTACCACAAGCCTAGGTTTGACTTCTAGGTTTGATTAGCTCCCAATAACTTTCAGTGCAGTGTGCATTTTCTGATACAAGATGAGGGAGATATACTGATATAGTGGTGCATTAGTGATAATTGTGGTGCATGTTTCTCTAACAGCATATCTTTCTTTGTTGCTGGAGGTGAATGCTTTGATGCGTGTTGTATATTGTACAACCTATTATATGGGGGAAAATAGAGAGTAAATTGTGTATCCATGCATGAACATGAGTTGTTCAATATTTGAATGTACAATCCTGATGGGATTCTTTGGATGCTTTACATACCTTTGAGGCAGAAAGCACAAGTCATTTGGACCAAATTACTTTGATGGATGATTTAAATTTCTGACCAGCTGAGGTTGTTTTGCTAAGATAGTTTTGTGGATGTTAATGTGAATTGTTAATGACTGTTAGTGTGGCCAACTGTGGCATTGGATGTGTGGATGTGTCCCTGTGCGGTGATAGTTTCTCCCTTGGGTTATCTAACCATTTGACCACAGTACTACAATGGTGATTTGTGTGTAGTTACCTTATGTGATCCTATATTTGGCCAATTGTTAGAATTTTTGGAGTATGAGCTCTACTTGCACGAACTGTTAAATGCTTCTATTGTAGATTGACTTGATTCCATCATGGTGAATTGCTTCCAGATATATGGATGGGGAACGTCTTACAACAGAAGACGAGAAAGCTGTGGTAGAGAAACTTCTTACTTATCATCCCCATTCTGAAGATAAAATTGGATGTGGACTTGATTCTATTATGGTGAGTTGCATCGTCTATGATAGAATAATTCAGAAACTATATTAAGATGCTGCCATTAATTTTAACTGTTTGAATTGAATATCTAACTATTTTACTTATATTACAGTCAATAAATTGTGTGAGAGATTGAAATCAATGTTTCTTATTCAAAAAAAAAAAAAAAAAGAGATAGAGATGGAATATGTATCATCTAAACCAAGTCTCCTCCGAATTTTCCACTCTTTGGGTCACTAGGAGAATAACATTGGTTAAATGTCAAACTCTTGTTCTCTCTTTAAGCATCAGTTTATGTCTTTTCTGACCTCGCGCACGTATAACTTGAGTGGTTGAAACATGGCCACTTATGCTGTCTGTCTTTGCATAGACATGATCCATATGCGTGTAGTTGCTTCACAGGAGAACACAACATGTTTTACTTGCCAAACTTAAGTCGACTGGTTATGCAGTCTGATCCTCTGTAGTCTACCCATTATATGGAACATCAATAGTTATGTTACCCAGTGTGATATGTGCAGTAGTCTTACAAGAGTTGCAACCCCCTATCTTTGCACCTCTGTTTTTGGGCTTCATGTATGTGCTTAAGAAGGATCACCTATGATGAAATTGATATCCATATGCCATTTGATTAAACTAGTGGGAAATGATCTTTAATTTTTGGCATAGATAAACATAATGGTCAAGTCTCAAATCATCAGCAATTGATGTCCAGCTGTTGCCATTGTTACTTGGCAATTGTAAGAAATTTCATGTATCTGGTTTCTCCCACAGATTTTCATCTCCTTTTGTAGATTTTCCTTAATCTATATATTTTCTTGTTCATAGCTAGTTTTAGCATAGAAACAAACACTGCAACAATAGCCATATTGTTCTTTCTTCTGTACTTTTAAAATTCATTGCTTTAAAACTTGTCCCCCATCCCCTCTCCCTCTCTCTCTCTTCGATTTTTCTTGGGACAATTGTAAGCTCCTTCAAGATACTTTTCTCTGCAGCGTGCTACTTCCTGTTTGTGGGTCATTTGCAACACTCCTCAATGGCATATATTTTTTCCATCTGTTCAAGCTTTTGATTATTGGGAGCCATGTTTTTTCTGGTTTATTAATATTTTGCACCTAGTGGCTTTCAATAACAAACACGGATCTGTACCTCTTTTGGAGGCACACGGGAAATGTTTTCTCTTCTTGTTGTCTAAATTGCTTTTGCTATGTCAATTATCAAATGTCCTTATAATTATCAAATGTCATTGTACCTAAGTCTAAAAGTTTTCCTATAAATTTTTTAGTGGCCCCAAAAACAAATTTTGATTTGATTTAACATGGGTATGAAAATTTTATTTGGTGCGTAAAACCAAAATTTTATTTTATTAAATATGCATCTAGAAATTTAAAGTGGAGACTTGAAAATAAATCTGACTTAATTGAATTTCGGGCCAAAAAATTTATTTGGGGCATTAAGAAGAATATTAAGCTTAACTGTGTCATAATTTTTTTGGGAACCTTAAGATAATATTGGATTTAAGTAAACATTGATCTAAAATTTTTATTTGGGGCTTTAAAAATATTTTAGACTTAATTGAACTTGAATTTAGAAGTTTTAAACTTAATTAAACTTGAATCTAAATTTTTTTTTGGGGCACTAAAAATATAGGGCCTTAGGTGACGGCTTTGATTGCCTAGCCTATGGGCCGCTTTGGTGAGGATGATGATGATTTTATTAGCTTCACAATGCTCAGTGAGATTTTCAATTCCACATGGCTTCGGCAATTGAGGACCAGCTGATCACATTAGCATTTGAGGGCTTCGTCTTGTCTCCATCTTTGTTGGCATATTTCTGGAACCACTTCTTATATTTTGTTTCCTATTGAAGTAATCAGTTTGAGAATAAAACAAATACAGACTGCTTGTCATGGGCTTTGTGCTATTTATCTTTTCATTAGCCCTTGTCCTTGGCCCTTCGATGGCATGCTTGGCTTCCGCCTTCCACTGGTCAGCTTGTATGTCAGTAAATTAACTGGTGCTGCCCATGTATTCTGATGCTTGTCCCAAGCATAGAAAATGGGAAAACATGTATTCCTAATATGCTAAATTAAGACATTCATTATGTCTACGTGTTGTTTCATTATATTTTGTCAAATTAGGATGTGGAAAAATCTATTTTCCTTGAAGGGTGATCAATGTTTGCACTGTATTACTGGTTGATAAACATCCTTTTTGATATTCCTATTTCTGTGAAGGTCGATCGGCATCCCCAATTTAGAAAATCAAGGTGTCTGTTTGTCATAAGAAGTGATGGTGGATGGATAGACTTCTCCTACCAGAAGTGCCTTCGAGCATACATTCGAGATAAGTATCCATCTTATGCAGAAAGATTTGTCAAAGAACATTTTAAACGTGGTAGTGGTTGATCTCTCCTTAAGACTGACAGTCTCGATGCTGATATTGAAACTTCAACTACGATTTTGAAATCAGTGAAGCCATCTTATATTGTTTTGAATACGTATAGCCTGAAATATCATGGATTTTGTTGGCGGGCACTGAACTGGTCCACTGGATTAAGTAAACCAAGATTGTCAATGTAGTTGATATTAGTTGGCTGGCACTCCATGTTTGTTTGTACTGTGGAACAAAAGGAAAATGATTTAAGTGAATACTATTTTGTTGACTTGCTGTTCTACTTTTGTTGGCTTTACTCTCAGGGAGTAAATTATGTTTAGAGGTTTGAAATGTGTCTACTAGAATTGAGTTACGAAATATGAATTACCTTTGGGATTACAATGTGAACTGCCCCCTAATTTCAAACCTAAGGATTATCAATTTGGTTGGAATTTGTTTGATGCATTTTGCATAAAAGAATGTAGACATTTCACATTTGTATGAATTTAGCCTTTTTTTTCTCTCTTCTTCAAAATTTCAAGTTATCATCGACTTTTATGGTGGAGAAACAGCGAAAAAGCATCATAGGCATGTTCAGATTGAATCAAAGCAAAGCTGATTCAAGTTCAAATGAGTGATGATCAAAGTCATTTCCACTTGGGCAAAAAGAGTGGTGGCACCCAAATCTGATGGTCACCACATGATCTAATGACTTTTGTGCTGACTTTAGTGTTGTTGAAACATGGGTCACATCAGATTTGGACAACCAAACAGGCCAAAGATCTCCATCTCCCAAGTGTTGAGACCCATGGAACCACCACCCCATAGTCTAACATTGATAGTTGGAGGTCGTATGTGTGTGAGTCAAGAGTCAAGCTTGGCATGTTTTCCTGTTGGGTTTGGTAGGCTTTGGTTACTCAAAGCAGAAAAACCCAGCAAAACTTCCACTTAAATTTGGTGAAAATATGGTTGGATAAGTACATTCAAAATAGACAAATGCACAATGTGAAGAGAGAGAGAGAGAGAGAGAGACAGAGACTGAGAGAGAGTCGGTGCCTTATAATATCTAATCAAGAATAAAATATTTAGGTAGACTCTGCTACATATTTTTTTAAATTGTAGGGGTTAGTTTAAGTTGTAGTCAGTCACTTAATAGATATTTTACGTAAATATTAGGCAAGGGTTTAATACTCCACAGCGTGAAAATGTTTTTTGGGGTTACCTCTCTTAGGTGAATAATGCTATGTAAAGTTAAAAATTTAACTTGATGATATGGCAGTTATATTTTTTATTAATTTAATTGTGGGTCCTAATATTTTTTAGGACTCACTGCCTATTTAATAATAATGATTTCATCAAGACAAAATTTTAAGTTAACTTTTTAAATTTATATAGCATTTTTTCCTTAAATTTAACCTCTACACGTGAAAAGAAAGTTTTACTCGTGGGCTCAAGTTGACTACGGGTTTAAATGAACTTGATTAGTTGGAGGTTCTTGGGTTATAAAAAAAAAAACATTTATGGATGAAGGACATATTGTGCCATAGTATAGTTTATGAAATATAATTTATCATTAAAATAAATTGTATTGGAGGGAATTTCTATCTGGTACACAAAAAAGGTTAGAGTTTCAATTCTCTGCTCGTACATTCTAAAAACACCATCAGGCAATATACGTGTACCACTCCTAGCGATCAGACAAAGTGATCATAGAATTCAAACTATTTGATTTGTGGGCCCAAATCTTTAGAACTGATCATTTGCACCACAGCTGGGAAGGAAATCCCATGGTGGGGCCGGTCTCACTCCACTCCACAGACCATAATGAGTTCCTTAATATTGCACACATGCGTTGTGTTTTAGCAATAATTTGCTGGACCATAAAAGATAGGTTTATGATTGTGGAGTAGACTATGATGCCAAACCAATTTATGTTCTAATAAGTTCTCGTTTTTTTTTTTTTTCGTTGTTGATGTTATTTATGATCATTGACATAGTAATAAACTAATAATAATAAAAAATAAGAAAAAATTTTAATCACACATCTTCTAGTTTATGATATTTTTAAGGAGACTCTCTTTATTTTTTGAATCTTCACTAACACCCATGTTAAATTGAAAATGTTAATTATAATGTAATTTTACTAAATTATCTATGATATATTAGAGAAAAAATTTCATATACACCTCCCCTAGAGAAACATATCTTCAATGAGATCCTTTTTGTTTTATAAATTTTTATACATATTAAAATTCAGGCTGATTAAAATTCGATTCAAGCTAATTAAAATTTATTTTTTATATATTAAACTCGAGTCGATTAAAAATTATATTTTTTTTACGTGTTAATCAACCCAAATTAAATTTTAATCAACTCGTATTAAATTTTAATAGGCTCAAATTTTGATATACACAAAAATATAAATTTTAATCGACTCAAATTTTAATGAATCGAATTTTAATTAACATGAATTTTAATAAGAAAAAATATAAATTTTAATCGACTCGAAACGAATTTTAATTAGCGCTAACAACTCAAATATATCTCAAATTAGCTCGCATTTTAATACGTTAAAATTTTTTTTACTACGCTCGAATTGTAATACATAAAAAAATAAAATTTAATCAACTCAAATTGATACGTAGAAAAATAAATTTTAATAAACACGAATTTTAATATATAAAAAAATAAATTTTAATATGTTGGAATTTTAATTGAATTTTACATAAAAATATTGTTTGGGATTTATGTAATGGTGTTTTTTGTATTTTAGATGATTTTTTTTTTGTTAAAAATAGTGGTTTAACAGTAAGAGATGTCAATAATGTTTAAATATAAATTATAAAGGGGTGTCAGTGATATTTTTGATAATAGAGTGGTGTTTTTAAAGATATAATAGACTAAAAAAAGTGTGGCTGAAATTTAAAAAATAAATAAATAAACAACATAATAATGAATAGGCGTATGATAAATTTGAAATAAATTTGGGTACAATGTTAGAATTAATTAAATATAATATAATAAAATATAATAATAAACTAGAAAAATTTTATACGTATTTTATTTTTATTCAACAAAAATAAAAAATATGATATTAAAAATAAATTTTTTAATACTATAATGAAGTCAATAGATGAATGAATGTGTACACTTGTTATGCTGTAAATAGACCAAAACAAAAGGTGTGATATCTTAAAACCATCGAGAGAACTTCTACTACCAGAAGAATTAGGATATGCGGTGGATGTTAGACTGGTCCTATTTGTTACATTGCATAGTAGGTAGTACTGTCTCTTCGGCTTGGCATGCATGCATGCATGCATATGATGGGGATGATTGTTGAGTTCCAATAAAGAAGTTTGGGTGGTCACTTTTCCTTTTCTATGGGTTGGGTCTCCCCTGTAGATGTGATTGAAAATTAGAAAAGGGCAGGGGACTACTTACTTTCGGATGATTCAGAAGAAGAAGAAGAGAGAGAGGATAGAGAATGGAGGTGATCTGACTTTGACCACATCATCAAACAAAACAGCGGCTACGGTTTTAGAAACCAACATTTCTTTCCCAAAAAAAAAAAAAAAAAAACGATCATTATTAATCAAATGCCATGAAGAGGAGCCTTCAAGTGTCATCAAAAATGAATTATATCTGCGCAAGTTTTTGGTTTAAATTTTAATAATTTTTTGAAATCAGACTAAATTTTTTATGAATATTTTAGTTCTAGTATGAATGATATATTTTTGATCAGATCAAAAAAAATTAATTCAAATATAGATAATTTGATTCAAATATTCTTAACTATTACACCAATTTTTTTTTTTTTGGCAAGGTTAGGTATCATTGCCATTTACCAAGTAGTGGTTGAGTTAGTTGGGTTGTCCACCCCCACCCCAACCCACCACCAAAGCAGCACCATTGATGGGTTCTAGCTCACCTGTTTGCACTAGTCCTTTTCTGTGTCCCCCCCCCCCCCCTCTCTCTCTCTCTCTCTATAGCTTCAGTCCTCGGATATTGAGCCTTTAAAGAGAGAAGTGGAAGAAAAGAAAAGCAAAATGGAGAAAGGAACATATCAGAGCAGAAACCTTTACCTCTCAATTTCCAAACAACCGGTACATAAACCTATACACATTGTGTATGGGTATGTATATTCTATCTGGTAAATATAGTTGTATAATGTTTATAGGGTTTGTGTGGAAAATAACTTTTCAATATCGCATATACATGCTCTTTTGCTCCAATAAAGAGTCAACACGTGTAAATTTTTTCTTAATTTCACTTTTCTTTATTATTTTTACAACCAAAGGCCAACGATAAATAAATAAAAATTTGATACCGTATTGCTGATCTATGCTTCACTTTCATATGTCACTTCTAAATGCCATTAATAAATCCAACACAAAACTCACAAGGAGATTTGGTGTGGTGTGAGTGGATTTAAATCTTAGACATGATTGTTAAATCCAACACAAAATTAACAAAAAGTCAACAAATTTGGATTTAACATAGAGTCGGTTGATGATATATGGTTAAATCCCTTATATTTATCAAATAAATGGATCGATGAATTTGATTAAATATCATACAAGTTTGCTTAAACATGCTTTATATATATAATAATATGAAAAGAGTAAACACTTTTAGTCGTTGAAATGACACTAACTTGAGAATACAAAATCATCAATAAGACAAGAAGTTAAACAAATTTTAACACAAAACTGACACAGATTTAGAACATTTGCATAAATTTAGAACGCGAACAAAATGACCCACAAACTTTTTGCGTTAAAAACATTAAGCAATAAAATTCCGATACTAGAAGACATCCTATCTATGTACTGCAGTCTACCTGTTGTAAAACAGGTGACAGCAGAGAGAGACAGAGACCTTTTTTCATACAAAGAACGAGAGAGATAAGGAATTTTTCTGAAATTCCAATACCTAGAGATTACTACCTATTGGGAAGTGAATACTTCCAAAATTACTCTTACCATTTCACAGTGTTGATATCTGGAAATGGTTAAAGACTGTCACAAAAGAAACGAGAAAAAGGAATGATATTTACTCTTACCATCTCACCTCACACTAATCTAATGTTGACGGGGACGAGTTATAAATTTAAATAATTTGAACTCGAAATTTGAGAACTTGTTTAGAGTTAGATTATGAGAAATTTATTCTCTTTTATTTTTTAAATTTCAGTTTAAATAATTTGTTTTTAATTAGATTGAGAAAATAAGTATACTGACCCACAACTTAACTGTAATACTTTAAAAAAAAAAAAACTTCTCTGGACTGGAGCTGTGGAGACTCTACTACTTGCAGAGCAGAGCTATAGGGGGTTGTAGAGGCATGCATTGCAATACCCTTTTGACTGCTTTTTGGCTAATACACCTCCTTTGTCAATTGTCACCCACTCGATAAAGGACGTTGAAAATACCCCAAATCAGATAGGACGGACAAATCTTAAAGATAGGAATTACACTATATTAAATTTAAATATTGGTTGATTTTATTTATAATTATTGATTTAATAACAAAATTAATATGAATTCAACTATATATTAGAATCTGATTATACATATAATAACTAAAACGTGACACAAATTTGATTATATTTGGATATTGGGTGAATACGATATAACATTGTGAGGAGTACTAGTTTGTACATAGTACATGAATTGATTTTGTAATGATGAATTAATTGAGTACAGTTAGGTTTTGATTGGTTTAGATTTATTAGTTATGTTGTTTGAGCTGTTAGTTTTGGAAGACTTTTGTAGTGTCGGTAGACCCTAATCATAAAATCTCATTATTTAGGGATTAGCCTCACTTTGGAGATTCACTCTATAAAAAGGTATAATTAACCTCAATTGTTGCATATTTTAATTTCACATTTATTTTTTATTGAAAATCATATTGCCTAGCCAAAAATGAGACCACCATTGTCATTGCTGCCGTTGCGGTTAGAGGTGACAATTGAGTCGTTTCATGTCGAGTTCGTATTGAAAATTAGTTAACCATAATTCAATTCATTTAATTAATCGTATCGTGTCGAGTTAACCTATTTATTTTTTTATCATGTATGTGTTTGTATTTGTGTTAAATCACATAAATTTTGAATAAAAAATTTAACACTAAAATTCTATTTTCATTTAATTGAATCCTTGCTCATACTTGTTCTACAAACTAAAAATTAACTTAATAATAATAACAATGAGTAAAAACATTTGTTTTGTACAATAATTATGTCAGTGCTTAGTAAATAATTGCAAATAATTAATATATTTTTTTATAATACTAATTAAACATGTTGATAGTATTAATTTCGTATTGTTTGTGTTACCATACAAACAATAAAATAAAGAAAGTGTCAATTCTTAAATAAATGGATTGATCGTGTTAAATTCGGGTTTTGCGGGTTGAACTCGAATGTGACCCGTTTATAATTCGAGTTTGCATGTTGGGTCATTTTTAAGTTCGTGTCCAATTATAAACGAGTTTGTATCATATTGTCCAAAAATTTAAGTCATATTATCGTATTGAGTCAAAAAATTGTACTCTGACCGTGGCCGCCACCGCCCCCGCCACGGCATCATGCTCACCTCTTTCATCAAAAGCACTAAGATAAGCATTGGAATGAACATAGGACTTGTCTTCTAGAGCTTACAAAAGTGCATTAGTGTCTTTCGATAATAACTTATGAAAAACAAATCAAAAAACAAATTTAAATTATTTTTTATACAATTTTAACTTGCTGCACTTCGGCAAAATGTTATATAAATGAGCATAATTCCAAGGCACAATTGGTATTATGAAAATTATTGAGGAAAATTTTGAACTACTTTAGCTACAAGATAATTTGCTCTGTTTATGGAATGAATTACTTAAAATTAATTTCAAGAAATCACACAAACCCTTCATAAGCTTTTTTAAAACAACCCAGACCCCCCTTTCTAATTTCAACATATCACCACAAACCCTCGTAAGTCGCACAGAGATAGTTCAAACGATAATAAAAATGAATTATAAATTCAGATGTCATAAGTTTAAATTTTGACAATTTTTTAGAGTTAAATTATGAGACATTTATTTCTCATAAATATTTTTATTCTGACATAAATAATTTATCTTTGATCAAACTTAAAAAAAAAAATTAATTAATGTGCACATAAATAGACGCGACAGCATCACTTACTATTGAAAAAAAAAAATAAAATTTGGTTATCCAAAAAACTTGGTCCCTGATGGGTCCCGCTAATATCCCACCACCATCACCATAGTCCCCTAGTTTAAAGTGACATGGTGCTAGAAAGGTCATCGTGTTTAACGGTTCAGAATTACCTGATCGAGTTAGTTTTAGCAAATACATGTAATCAACGGCCCCCCCTTGTGTCACGTGTCGAGTTATTGTGCTGCATGATCCATGATTCTAGGTCTGATTCACTCCCAATAAAAAAGAACTAAGCCGCCTCATCTCGAAGCCCACTAACTAAAAAACAAAACCTCTGGGTACTCCCCCTCTTCCCAACCCCTCCCTCCACTTCTAGAGAGAGAGAGATGGCTCAGGTTGTGTCTGTAGGCCTTCCTCTCTTCCTCATCTTCAGCATCTCTTCTGGACTGCTATGAAGTAATACACCTAGAACAACTCCTCTTCTTCTCAGAAGAAGATGGCTAATCAACAACAAACTCCTTCATTGCGCTTAGATGACCTGTATTGTGAAGAAGAGCATTGGGAAGATGTGAGAGAGGACTCCTTTGAGGAAGAAGAAGAGAGCTGTTACAGTGACTGTATAAGTCCCAAAATTCTGTTGCTACAAGAACATGACCTCTTGTGGGAAGAGGAAGAGTTATCCTCTTTGTTCTCAAAAGAACAACAAAACCATGTGTACAGTAACTTTGAAGCCAACCCATCTTTGTCCGAGGCCCGCCGGGAGGCGGTGGAGTGGATGCTTAAAGTGGTTTCCCATTACTCATTCTCTGCTCTCACTGCTGTTCTTGCAGTGGACTACCTCGATAGATTCCTTTTCACCTTCCAGTTTCAGGGAGAGAAGCCATGGATGATAGAGCTTACTGCTGTGGCCTGTCTCTCTCTTGCTGCCAAAGTTGAAGGGACCCAAGTTTCCTTTCTATTGGACCTCCAAGTATGGACCTTTATGTGCTTATTTCCCATCATTGTCTTTGACTCTGTGTGTGCGTGTGTGGGTGTATCTCCCTCTCTGTGTAGTATGCATATGTGTAGACTTATCTTAGATTTGTCGATGTGGGGTTTATTGATTTGTATAGGTGGAGGAGACTAACTATATGTTCGAGGCAAAAACGATTCAGAGAATGGAAATATTGGTACTATCCTCTCTCCAATGGAAGATGAACCCTGTGACCCCACTTGCATTTATTGATTTTATTACAAGGAGGCTAGGCTTAAAGAACCACATATGTTGGGAATTTCTTAAGAGATGCGAGTGTCTACTACTCTCTATCATTACAGGTGATGAAACAATTTTAACTTAGCATTTGTTTGTGCCTTTGGAATTTTTGGGTTTTCTGATTTTGATTTCCTTTTATGTATTCACATATTCAGATTGTAGATTCATGTGTTATCTTCCTTCTGTCATGGCCACCGCTACAATGCTCTATGTCATCAATAGTGTAGAGCCCTGTATTGGAATAGAGTACCAAGACCAACTACTGGGCATTCTTGGCATTGACAAGGTTGGTGTCTTCTTCTCATTGAATTAATACTTCTTGAAATCATTGGTTTGATTCCCTTCGAAATTTTGTTGATTATTTTTGTAACTTATCGAAAGTTTGTGTCAAATCAGGTCAAAGTAGATGATTGCCTTAAGCTAATCCAGGAGTTGGCCTTGAGAACCCACTTTTTCTCATCAAACAAACGCAAGTTTGGATCATTGCCTGGTAGTCCAAAAGGGGTCATGGATATGTCTTTCAGCTCCGATAGTTCGAATGATTCATGGGCAGTGGCAGCAGCATCGGTTTCGTCGTCCCCAGAGCCTTTATCCAAGAAGAGTAGGGTTCTTGATGAACATCATCATGAAACTGCTGATATTCTCAGCATCCCTCCCTAAACCTTCAATTATCCCTGTCCTTTCATTATGAACTACTCTTATATATGTTTAATAAACAGTAAAAGTTCTTTTTATTTTCTTGTTTAATAGCTTATTATCTTTGCATTTCAATCCAAACTCATTAAAAAGAATCACACTTTTACAAATATTGTGGAGTTTTCGTTATTGAGATTTGGGCCATGGAGGTAGAGATGGTTGGCATTTACCTTGAAGAAAGCAGAGAACATGAACAAAGCAATCAAAGAGTAGTTTTAGTTATTTCATCTCTTCTGTTTCCTATAATTTTTAGGGGCAGATTAAGTAAAAATAACGAGAGTTATAAATTTAGACGATTTGAGTTCGAATTTTATCAATTTTTTGTCCTCAAGTCATAAGGAATATTTTAGTTTTTGTGTGAATAATTTGACTTTTAACGGACCGGGATCGGGGAGAAGATTAGGTTTTTTTTTTTTTTGATAAATGAAAGAAGATTAGTTGAGGTATATGTAAATTGATCTAAATATTCCCACCGTTGAAATAAAAAAGGATGGTAGGATGAATCATATTGAAAGTAAATAATTTTTTGGTTTAGGGTATAATTTTTTTAAATCAAGTTATTTTTATTATTTTGTGTTTGACTTTGAAGTTAAATCTTGTGGAAAGAGTTAAGTCTCTCGAGTAATGTTACCACATTTTCAACCTAGCTTTTTAAAATGACTAATCAAAATATATTTAAATATTATATTATTTAATTTAGCCAGCCATTTTTATAAGTTTTCTTCAATCACACTCTATTTTAACTAATCATTTCACTCAAGTTTTACTAACTTTCAATAATTTAAAAGGATGTAACATACATATAGAAAGAGATAGAGGGAGAAAGATGTAGAGAGAATTTAGAGGGGCGATATGGCTTTCCACATTTGGAGAGTCATTTGGGTGAAATGAGAAATAGAAACTGAAATAGAGAGTGGGTTCGAGAATGCATCTAAATTAGCTTAAATAGAAGAATTAAAGAGTGGGGTGGAGATGCTCTTATAGATTTAATTTAGAGACCTAATCAAGGAACTTATTTAATACATATATTATATTAATCGTGAGTTTTAATATTAGACGGATCTCACTTTTAATTTAATGATTATATTAAATTAAATTAAATCTCCAAATGAGATTCAAATAACATTTTTCAAGTCTCGTTGAAACTTATGTTTTAAAATGAGGCAAATGACCATGACTGGAGTAACCTATCCAGCTTATAGTCCAAAAACACTGGCCCATTTTGAATTTTGATACACTGGACAGAAGTTGCCATGTCTTTATCCTTAACGTTTTTACTGATAATGCACGCAAGACAAAGCTCAGTCAAGTCTTTCTACCTACTATACTAAGAACTTTTTGTACAGTTATTATATAGATTTCCCACATCTTCCACCTAAAAAATATTAAACTTGGAGCAATGTGATGCACTTGAACAATAAGCAAAATCAATCCACACCATTGACTCGGTCTGTAACTAATTATTTCACAAACATGTTAGTTTAATGGGTACTTGGAAACGTTTAAGTCAAAAGATTAATTTCATGTGTGTTAAATTCATAAGAGTGCAAAAAATCTCACGACGAAGATAATTATAAAATACGACTTTAAAATACTCCAAATGAGAGGAAATTAGAACTATTATTAATGTATGTAGTTCGGGTCTTTATGGTGAAGTGGGCAATGTTGGCATGTGTGGCCATAAAAGGCCCACATATGGGACCTACATGAAAGAATGAATTTAAATCTTAAAAACACAATATAATTATTTTGACAGTTAACTAGAAAAAGTTACACCACCACCTTTTTTTTTTTTTTTTTTTAAAAAAAAAAAGAAGCTCTAATACGCGTTTTCTTGTCAAATTAGTGTTTTTAATTGATTTTTGGAAGACAGGCATTGGCGAAGAAATAATAAGGTTGCTCCACCGTTTTAGTGTCACGTTTTCATATTATAAAACAAAGCTTTGCCACATGAACGGGTAAGACTGCTTACAAACGTTCTTTTCTTGGACCCGCATTTACGGAATCATCCTACACTAAATTTTTTGTTTTCTTTAATCAATCTTATAATGATCTAACAAACTATGAGAGGAGTGGAAATATATTAGTAGCAGTGAGTAGGCACTTGGATTCAATTTTCTCCTCATCATCAGTTGCATAGATAAAACAATTCAGCCTAGTCGAACCTGCTTTGGACTTACTGGTAGCACAAAAGACAGCCATCAGAAGGCTTGCATGTGCCTTCTTTCCACTTTAAACAAAAGGGAATCATGACTTGGCTTTTACTACTCTACCTTAAATACACAGCTCTCCAAATCTATTACTGCAAATGCTTGGACTATTGAACCCATTACTATTATTCTGGTAATACCGTGAATGGCGGGCATATATATCCGAGATAAAGTCGGTTCATTTCTGCTACTGTTGACCATGTTATAGATTGATTCTCGGGATCTAGATCATCTCTAATATACATTTACTCAATGATATAACAAACCCCCGATTATTAGTAGTGGTTCCATTTAAATTTATGACATGTAATCTACAATTAAGAAAAATTGAAAGTATTTGCAAGCATTCTAATCCGATTCTTACAAGTGGAATTGCGTTAAAGCACACGACACTTTTCTCGTTCTCGTTCTCTTTTATTTTCTGTTTGGTAGGACATATGTGCAGCTGTATGCTACTGTATATGCTTTCTGTAGAAATTTGAAACAAGTCTTGCTGTGTGGAATTTGAGGATTAAAAGAAAGGGAATAAAACATAGAGCCAAAAGGCCGTAAGAACATGATATAGCAGCATTAACTTTGTAAACAAGGCATAAGAGAAGATCAAAAAGATCTCAAATGCAATTAGATACACCAAAAACACAAACAAAAAGGAGAAAAGGTGAAAGGAGAGGAATGTTGAAAATGGGGGACAAAATCTTTTGATTTGTTTGAGATGTCTTTGTTGGCCCTTTTGTACTCTGCTTTTGGTAGTTAGGAGAATAGACTTTAGTGCATTTCAACCCATAAAGAAAAAGGAAAAAAAAATACAATGATAGTATTAGTTTGCATTTGTGATCACGAGGAAAGAGGGAGAGTTGTAAATTTAGATGTCCTAAATTCGAATCTTTAACAACTTCTTGGAGTTAGGCTTGAGGCCTCCTCATGAATACTTTAATTCAGACGTGAATAACTTGCTTTTGACCGAATCGAGGAGAAAATTAATCAAAATACATGTAAACTGGTCCAAACTCTCTTCTCCATTGAACCAAAAATAAAAAAATAAAAGGAAAGAGGGAGAGGGCTTTGGTTGGTTCCAGATAACACCTCTTCTTTTATGGATAGTGCCAATCTTTAAGTCCATCCTTTTGACCTAGTGAACATTGATGTCCTAAAGCTTAAACATTTAATAAAGTGGGACTTAGTCGTATTTGGGAGACGAACATATGACAATCATAATGATTTTAATCATATATTCCAAGAGTAGGTAGAAATCATTGGCCCTAAAATTTCCAAAAGTACAGAGACTACTCACCAATGGGATTGATAAATTCGGGGATAATTCCCAATATTTTATTTAAGTAATGCATTACACAACTAATTTTTCATCTCAAAAATCAATTGATTAAAAAAAATGGAGATAGAGTAGAAAGGACGGCCAGAATACCTCCCCAGAAGAGAATGGGAGCCTCTAACTCTAAGTCTAAGCCAGATTTGGGATCAAATGCAAGTTTTCAATTGGGAAAGGGCTAAATCATGTTTGTACCATCTAAAAATTAGGTTTTGGGACCATTTTGGAATTCAATTATGAAAGTGAGTAGAACAATGGAACCATGTACTACTCTATATAGTTATGAAAATATGTGACTGGCATTGAAATTATTGGTCTATAATACTAAACAATGACTTACAAGTCTTACACAACTAGCTAACATTATACCCTCAAGATTGATGAAGATGCTCATTTCTACAGTAGACACAAGTACTTACAGTGTATCAATGGCCTTGAAATCTGGAACTTTCTTCTGTGTTTTTGCACATAAAAAATGAGTTTAATTGGCTCTCATTTATTTTCATACAGGTTACAGTCAAACCACAAATGTCCCAAATTTAGCGGCCCCATAACTCGATGCCCAAGTCCTATGTGGTGACTGCGATCTCTGAAATCAGTTCCAATGATCCTACCTAATACCCATAGTATAGACACTAAATAAATTAAAAGCCGTATTCAGTGTATTACAACTTTCGTTATTACGGAATCTAGAAAGAGTTAGATGTAAGTAATCTTATTTTTACAAGTAGAGAGTCTGTTTCGACAACTCAAATCCATGACCTCTAAGTCATAATAAAATAGACTTATCATTGCGCCCATACCCACCATCTAGACTGAATAGATTAATTTTGTTATGGTTATAATCAATGTAGCGACATAACTGTTGCAATCCAGTTTCTCACGATTGACAAAACAGTAGATGTAACTTATTAATATTAAATAGGGTAATGACTGGAACTGGGGACATCAAGCTTGCCAAATTCATTAACTAAAATTAAAGACCTCCACTTTGACCCTAACTACTGGTGGTGGCTAAAAATAAGAAAGCATCTTAAATGAATTGTTTCTAATTTAGTTGGCCCCTCTTAATTTTTGGCACCAAATTTTGTCGAATTTATTTTCTCGCTCTTGCAAACTTCTCTCCATCTCTCTTCTGATACTTTTTACTCTATTCCTATGATCAATCTTTGAGGTTTCCTCAAACCCAGCCCCCATGAAATCTTAATTCCAAAATTTAGTCACTTTGAAACTTAATTCTCAAATCCAATCTTTTTAAAAAAAATGTCATTTGAAATGACGCATTCTCTCCTAAAAATGTCATTTGAAATGACAATTTTAAAGTTAATAGAATTCTAATAATTATGGTATAAAACGTCATTTTAAGTGACACATCTAAAAACGTCATTCAAAATGACGTTTTTAACTTACTCTTTTTACTAACGCTGTTAACAACATTAAATTGGGTGGCAAAGTTAAGAAAACGTCGTCTAGAATGACGCTTTTAAAGTCGTCATTCAAAATGACGATTTAAACGTTAACTCAGCCCCCCTTGAACTTTCCTATATCACAGCCTAGGTCAAAAAATTTCAAACATTTTAACCACTCTCACCTCTCCCCCTCCTCCAACGACCTCTCTCACCTTTCCTATATCACAGTCTATTATCCGACGAGGAAGATCACTGTGGCCTACTCCTCCAACCATTCAAGCACTGTTGTCTCTGACGAGGAAGACCATCGGAGGACCATAATCCACATCTCCACCAGCAAGTTAGCGACTAAGCAGTGAGCATCACTTCCACCAGTGACTGAGTAGTGAGCTCCATCAAGTTGATCCACCTTGATGCGCTTTTTCCTAAATCGATCCAGAACTCCAACGACTGAGCACAGCTCCACCAACGACGCATTTCCATCAGGACCTTCCATCCATTTTGCTCGAAATTTCACAAGCTCAAATTGCCCTTAATGCCCTAAATCAATTTTGCCCTAAATCTTATTATATTAGTTGTGATGAGACTAGTTATTTGTGGGGCAAAAAAATATTAGTTGTGATGCAATCTTATTATAGTAGCTGTGATGAGGCTAGTTATTTGTGGGGCAAAAAAATGTTAACTGTGATTCAATCTGATTTACTAAAGCTATGATTTTATTAGCTGTAATTTTATTAATTGTGATGCAATCTTAATTGCTGAAGCATAAAGAAAAGTTGTGAGTTTAGAGCGTGTGAAAAGTTGTGGGTTGATTACCAGTGAGTCCATTCTCCATTCTCCACGCTCAGTTGATTTTGCCCAAAATCAGTATATTGACTAAAATCAATTTTTGCCCTAAATCGATCCAGAACACCAATTCTCCATACTGTCTATGATGCAAATTTTATCTATTATAATTTTGTTTACTATCAACATGCCATGAATTTTAACTTGGGGAATGGAAGGAAGTGTAAAGTTCAAATTGAGATTTTTCCATTTAGGTCAATTATGAATCTATGTTTGTGTTGATTATGTTTTTTCAATTTTGGGTGGATAGTTTGAAATTTAGGTGTATTCTTTGCAAATTAGGAATTAAATTTAAGTTTTAATGCCAGTTTGGATGTTTTTTTAATTAAGATTTATTTTTTTACTTAATTACAATGAATCTATGCTGGGAATTTGTAATATCTTGGGTTATGATAGGGATTTGAGAGTGGTTGCTATGGATGGTGATGAGTGCTGACATGTAGAACAATCTTTGGTGTCTTTCTTTAGAATGTTTACAGCTTGTGAAATACTTCTGAAAAGTTGTGGAAATTTGTGGATTGATTATGTTGTGATTTAATACGTTTTAAACTCACAGAAAAACACACACAATCGAAAAACAAATCAAGAACATAAAGCAATAAGAAACAAGAAAGAACAAGATACAAAGATTTTACGTGGTTCGACAATTTGCCTACGTCCACGAAGCTGCAAGGTTTTCACTATTGAGAGAGAGGATTACAGAGAGTGGCTATACACTTCGATCAAACCTTAATCACCAAAGTAACGGTATTTTATATGTCCTATGCACTGGACTACAAAACAAGCCCAAAAATTTTCCTCGAGGGGGCAAGGCTTGTCCATGCCGGAATATATGTAGTTTCCAATGTGTCGAGATAGGTTGCATGATATGACGGGGATAGATAGGAATAAATACAACCTAAAACTTATTTGTAGGTTTCCTACTACATTGGGAACTACATATATTCCGTCTTCGACACCCACGCCCCAACCCCTAACATCTACCTCGACACTGAAGTATAGTTGCTTCCACACCAATACCAGCACCCACACCTACACCGACTGCAATTGCATCCACACCGACACGAGCACTTATTTTTACAGTGACACCTTGTCATACACATGTTGATGTTCCCATTTTCACTCCACCAGTAGTGTCATTGGGTGTTACCATCGGCTCATCACACACATTCTCTCCTTCCTCATCTAGAGAGCATCCTTTATCAGATCCATTGTTAAATGAGGAGGGAGTGACATTGGATGCTATAGTTGTAGGTGTAGTTCGTGTGCGAGTCGGGTCGCGGGTTAGAAGTGGACAACAAGGTCGTGGACGCGAGCTAGGTCCTGCCCAGCATGCCCATCATCTCGGTGTGTCACAGGTGACACAGGCTGGACCACATGATGCTGAGCAAGAGGTTCATAGATAACCGAAGCGACGTAGGCAACCACTTGCGTGTAGAACATGATGTTGATGTATTTGTTGAATTTTTTGTTCTACACTATATAAAGTTTTCTTTAGTAATTATATTGTCACATACACAATCATGTTTTTTTTATAGTATTCTTCAATCAAGTTGCCACATACATAATCAATATTATACAGAGCACATTTAACTCATTTCAACATTACACGTACATTACACTTCACATGTAAATCTTAACACAATAATAACATGATCTGGAGAGACAACAACACTAACATACGTCCACAAAAACACTAACACTTGTTCCTACAACATTAAGATGGGTCAACACAAACACTAACATAACACTTGTCTACACAATACAATACTAACTTAACACTTGTCCACACAATACCGACTTGACAGTTCATCACACAACACTAACATGACAATTCACCACACAATACTAACATTACAGTTCTCCACACAACATCATGACTCAACATCTTTATCTGACATCTTGACATCAGAAATACATCCAACTTCTCCACTTAGAAGGAAACTTATACGTGCTTATTCTATTAACCATTCTTCAGCATGTTCTCATGCTATGCGACGGAGGTTGTAATGATTTAGACGAATTGTCATGCGATTGTTTTCAGTTCGAAAACGATACAATGCTCTCTCCAGTTATTGAGATGTCTCAACTGGCATATTGATGGCAATTTGTTGAGGTTTTCATAAATTGTAAGTTTGCATATCTTTAATAAAATTTTCTCGCTCCATCAAACGATATTGCAATTCAACCCTTATGATTCTTACCGCCCTGCTTGAATAACATAAACAAGGATTCATTGGATAGAAGAATTCATCATTTAAGGCCCAATGATAACTCATATTTTCATATAAAGTTATAACACTATAATTCATGTTGAAAATGAGTTTTCTTCTCTTAGACCACAAAAACGGTGAATATATAGTGAATACACAAATCTCCCAATAGTTGACCATATCAATACAAACACTCTCTTGAAGTGACAAGTAACTGCTCTGTCATAATGTTGCAGAAGAAAAAGTGACAACTCGTGAGTACTTAATGTCATGTGTTGAAGTTACTAAACCCTGAATGAGTTTCAGCATATAATGTGCTGAAGTGACTAAACCCTGAATGAGTTTCAACAGACCATGTACTGAAGTGACAAAATCCTGAATTTTAACATACCATATGCTGAACTAACTTAACCTTGAATGGGTTTCTGCATACCATGTGTTGAAGTGACAACACACATTTGATAAGGGGAAAGACTAAAATGACCTTACACTAGTCTGATGAATGACTATCCCATAAATGGCATCTGATCACTACACTATTTTTCTATTGACTAATTTGATCTGTCTAACATAGTAGAATTGTAACACTACTATTTAAACATCTTATTTATGGTTGATATAACAAACACAACATCATGTCTACATTAAATTTATCTATGAGATTTAACAATCGCAGACGTGAACGGGTTTGGTTGTTACAAGAGCGAAACAATGATTACAAAAATGAGAGATTTTTTGATCCAAAAGAGTATTATGCAAGAGTACGATGAGAGTGGGCTTTTCGTACTAAAGAATCAGATGAACTATTCACACAACTAAGAGAATTTAGCATAACTGTGCCTCGTAGACAATCAATAACAATGCAACGCTAGAATAGAGAAGACTACGAATCAGCAGTAAAACAAGGTCGAAGAGAAAATAATAGAATGCTGGTTCGTAGGTCTCACAATTATATGCTCCAACAAGCAAAAGACATGTGCAAACTGCACATGGACGAAAGTTGACACTAGTTGAGCAAAACAATATATTTTCTAATGCACAATACCTGTCAGATAATTATATGTCTAATGAAGTTTAACAATGTCTGCAATTATTCATTTGTGATATAGCAAGTCTGTCTAACAAGTATAGTGTCAAGTTATGTCAGTCATTTGTATTTGAATTGTTATGTATTTACTTTTTTATTGTGAACTTAGTTCATTGTTTTATCAGTGTAATCAGTCTAGTGACAAGTCAAGTCAATCCTTTTGTGATTCACGAGTTATGTCATTACTTTATCATTGTGGAGTCATATCATTATTTTACTTATGTCAAGTCATGTGAGTCATACCAAGTAAATGTCTGTCAAATTTATATATAATTATATTTCATATCTATATAAACCATTCAAATTAGATGTGTACATCATAACCCAAAACATGTCTAGCCGCACATCTAATACACAATCCAGTCAAACCACCCAAGGTTCTTCATCACGCAATGAACAACAAAGTTCATCTTCACCCAACGAACGTCAACACTCGACTGGCCAGATGGGTTTGTCGAATGTAATTTGTTCAATTGAATCACAGATTCTACTGGTGTAACTTGGTATAGACAAAAGCGTGAGTTTCGTAATGAGCCTATCGACCCTTATCACTCATTCAGTCAAATTGGACACGTATTTGTTGGGCTTGCGACCAACTATCCGCCTCCAAGTGTTTGTATTAAACCCACCCCAAGGTAGCGACAGTTATATGACAAACGTTGTGAGCTTGAAGTATACTATCGTTGACATGAATTACTAGTACTGAAGGCACGTTCGGTTGATATATATGATCCACAAAACTCTACCAACCATAATGAGATCATAGCCCGACTTGAACATGAAAATGATCAGACGCAACGTAGACTTGATCGTTTGCATGCAATCGACCATGCTAAAACCGAGCATTTCAATCTTGATTATGCTGAGATTCAAATTTTGCAGGATTTGTTATTTGTTTTAAATACAGAACTTTTTGATTATTCCGATTTAAGTGATAATGCGTCTAACACTTTTATTCCTTCGAGTTTATGTGTACTCGACAATCCTCTATGTTGTTTTCTACATCAACCAAATTATTGACATACTGTATTTCTTATAGTATCATATATTAAAATTATTTTGTTTTAATGTATAAGTATTTTTTTTCTTATTTTGAAGTTTTGCACACTTTTGTAAGATCGTGGTGACGGTGGGGTACTGGTGGGGATAACGACGATGGTGGTGATAAGGGTGATGGTGGGAAGACAACGATGGTGGTGGTGGTGGAGCGATGGGGTAGTGGTGGGGTTACGGTAGGGTAGTGGTGGGGGTAACGGCGGCGGGGGTGTTAAGAGTGATGGTGGGATGACAATGATAATGGTGGTTATAGGATAATGAGAGTGGTGGAGCAGTGGTGATTGTTGTGGCAAAAGTGGTGGTGGTGGTGGTGGAGGCGGCGGCATCAACGGTGGTGGTTAAATTATACTTTTATGAAATTTATTTTCGATTAGAAAATAAGTACAAAATTATTATGAAAATTTAATTCTATAATTGATTCACTTTAAATTAGAAGAAGATTGGAGAAATAAAGACAGAAAACGTCATTCAAAGTGACGTTGTTAAAAACTTTACTTTCAATGACATTTTTTCGTTCAATTTTTTAATGCCCATTTAGCTGTCGTTTGAAAATTATTTAAGAAAACGTCATTCAAAATGACGATTTAAAAAACCTTATTTTTAATGATGTATTTAATAAAAAAAATTCAATTT